ACAGGGAGCAACAGGAGCACATGTTTCCTGCAGATGAGCAGGTATTTAACACCTGAAAATACAAAAAAGAAAAGAAAAGAGCAAGGCACATCTCTGTGATTTGACTCGACATGTATGAGCAGCTTTAAGACAACAATCCTCCTCCTGGACGGATCAGAACGTGCAACAAGTAGTGTTCTGCATTTTAAACATGTGAAGCACAAAGATAGGATCTCCATGAAACAGCTTCACAACAAACAAACAAACAAACAAACAAAAACATCTCAGGCCAGATCAGCAAAGAGAGGGAGTCAGCGTTCACACAGCAAAAACTCTAATGATAAAATACAGTTCAGTGACCTCGCAGCAATAATGTCAACATGCAGAATGAGCAGGGGGGGTCAAAAAGGTCATCCAGGCCTCTCACCCACCCCCACCCAGGTGTGTAAAACAAAATCAAACAGGTGAACCCCCCTCCTGCATCAGAGCGACGCTAAATGTGTGACTCGTCGTTTAAATAAATAAGCAGAGTGTGCCGCTCGTCTTCTCCAGATCAACAGGTGACCTCTCTGTGATATGGTCTCCACTAACCATGCATGATGAGGAGCAGAAGATTTTCAAAATAAAAAGAGTTTAAAATGCTTGTGGCAGCTATAATTCCTCAACAGGTGACAAAGAGAAGGCGTTCCTGTTCTGATAATTGGGCCTGATGTGTGCATGAATCCAGTGGATGATCAGAAACATGTTCCCATGGATTCATTATTCACCTTTAAAATCAGGCAGAGCTGCAGCTTTTAAGGTCACGGCCAGGTCTGCTCTGTGTGACCTGCACAGGGGACTCCATGCAAAACATTTCACTGTAGAGCAGTAGAAGCACACAGACGTGTGTCAGCGATGCATTCATGTTTTCCTCGACGCTCACACACCTTGCCGGCTCGGAGCGTGCACGTAAAGGTATACACTCACACACATGGCAGCAGGAAGGACGAACACAGTCACAACACCGACCTGTTACCACAAGACTCACAGTATAACACACACACACACACACACACACACACACACACACACACACACACACACACACACACACACACACACACACACACACACACACACACACTCCTCTGAAGGGTAACAGCGTCCCTCCTCTGACGCCTCCAGAGTCTGAATAAAACGCAAAGCGACACTGAACAGCCGGTATGCCGCCGGGCTGCCGCTCCGCTCAGAGCCGCCTGTGTGCAGCTGTAAACATGTAGAGGAAGAGGAGGAGGAAGAGTGTGTGTGTGTGTGTGTATACTGGAACAAAAATCCAAGCCCCGTTACCGTTCTCTGCGCGTCGGGTCCTGCTGGATGCTCGGCTTGGTGGGCGCCATCTTCCTGCAACAATTCTGTGCTTTCTGACTTTCTGTTCCCTTTTTTCTCTCCTCGCGTTTATCTGGACGCGGAGCCGCGGCGGTGCGCTGCGCCCTGACAGCAATGCGTCATGGTCGGTGTGTTAAGACAAAGCCATGTCCGTGTGTGTGAACGTGTCAGTGTGTGTGTGTATACGTGTGTGTGTGTGTGTGTGTGTGTGTGTGTGTTTAATCGTGCGTGCGTTTTCCTGTGCGTGCGTCTCTCGTGCTTGTCTCTGTCCGCCGCCGCCGCCGCTCAGCAGCGTGGAAACAACAGGCGGTGGAGGCGAAGGCGAGGACCGGGCTGCAGCAGCTGAGGCATGCCGCTTAGAGTGAGGGGGAACCCGGGGTGGATGCCTCTCAGATGCCGCCGTCTCCTCCTCTGCCTCTCTCCACACACGGCTTGGCACTACACAAGAATTTCCTGCATGCGCTCCAGAGGAAAAAAAAAAACGCCAAACAGGCGCGTCAAATCTTTACATTCTCACGCTGCTGCAGCGCCTATATCCCCGGTAAAATCCCCGCGGCGGAGCGTCGCTGCTCGGTCACAGTCTCTGCGCTTTTACGGAGCATTTTTTCCGCCTCTGGCTGCTGTCAGGAAAAAAAGGGACACCACACATCTCCGGTATTTTCTCCAGCCCCGGCGCAACAACGCCACTCAGATGCAGTTGGAGTCAGTTTGTGTGTATGTGTATGTGTATGTGTGTGTATGTGTGTGTGTGTGTGTGTGTTTTTTTTATTTTTTTATTTAATTCCCCCTCTCTCCCTGTATTACAGGTTGCACCGCGGGACTATTATCCAATTTTTAACCATCACACGCTCACAGAAAAATAATAATTATAATACAAAAAAACACCCCGCGTGTACATGGGCTGACGGGTGATTTATTTGGATGGTTGCCCTGTAAATCAGATCCATGCACCTCCACACACACACTCACACACACACACACACCCCTCCTTCTTCCTCCCTTCAGTGTCATAATAAAGACATCACAGCAAATGTCTCACTTCAAATTCCCAAATCAGGAACTTTCTGTGCTGCTGCTTTTCTGTTCCTCCTGTTGAAGTGTTTTTTTATCTTCAGGAATAAAATATTCTTCAGTTTGTTTTGAGCATCACAAATTCAAATCCACTCCTGTTAAAATCTCAACATTCTGCTGATATTTGTAATTTAAGTCCACTATGTGATATATTCCCCTGCAGACTTTGAAGCTCGCACATCACAGGCGGCTTATTATTCTAAAAACGAACCGCCTTCTTCTTTCTCTCCGTCTTTTTTTTTTTCCCCTCCTCAACATTCATTTAAATTCCTCTTTTTTTATGATGTATAATTCATTGTAACCTAATCGGTGTGCTGTGTGATTAACCCCCGGGCTGCAGCCCTGGAAGCTTGAAAAGCCTCCCTCTCTATACCAATGACCTGTCAAGGTCAAAGGCATGCTGGGTATTCTCCACACAAACACGGGGTTACAGGCACTGCTGTGGCGGAAAATAAAGAGCGGAGAGGGGGGAACCGCGACCATCGTCATGAGCTGAACGCCTGCCGAGCGGCGTGCGTGCGGTTTAGTGTTGAGGAAACCGGCAACAGGAGAATCGGCTTCAATTTCTCCACACAAATCTGGAGAGAGATTTCTTTACGTTTCTGCTGAAGCTCTGGTTGCCAGTTCATCAGCTGTGTCTTAAAGATGCTCGATGACACCCCTAAGCAACGACAGGCTCAGACTCGAGGTCATGGCGAGTCAAACGGCCCAAAGGTCACAGGTTTGACCTCAGCAGCAGCCTCACTGCTTCATTTCTCCACCTTTGAGGAATTCTTCTGAATAAAATTAAATCTGTCTGTTTTTGCTCTCTGCCGGTGCAGTAAAGACATATCTGTGTCTCACGTGTGATTGAGTGTTTTTAAGCCTCGTCCAGTATCAGCGAAACAAAGCGCTCTCTCCCACTGGGGTCCGGCGTTTCCCCCCTTCTCTCTCTCTCTTTCTCTCTGTCTCAGCTCTGCTTACTGAGAGCAGCCAAACGGAGGCGACGTGGATAATGGAGCGTAATGTATAAACATATTAGCTCCCAGCTGTTTGTGGGGGGGGGGACATCATGTATGGAGAAAGAAGGGCAGCAGGGCGACGGGCGGATGAAGATCAGAGGACGTGGGGAGTTTTTGAAAAATCTGCCTGTTTAGATAAAACCAGCGTGGACGGGCGGACACAAATAACCAAAAAACATTTGGAGGAGAAGTGAGACTTTACAGGAGGCCGTTTGGAGGGCTGAAAACTTTCACCTGAAAGGGTCCTGACAGGAAGAAAAGAGCAGAGAAGGGGTCTCTAATCCTCCTACATATGGACACAAACATATGGCTGTGTATCATATGGATGAAGGGGGGGGGGATCTGTGTGTGCCCAGAATCCCTGCTTTAAATAACAATACGTCCCCTCATTCTCCTCGTATTTGTTGCTCTGGAGGGCCGAGACGCTCTCAGTGCACTCAGAGAGAGGCCCTGGCTGTGATTTATGTTCTGTTTGCTCCCCATAGCTTTTAGACTTCACACACACACACACACACACACACACACACACACACACACACACACACACACACAGCTATACCCTCCATAATACTGAGAGTTTTAGGGGTAATAAGGCAAGAGTGTGTGGGGTGTGTTTCGGCCCCCCCACGGCTCCTGATGATTAGAAAAAACAAACCCTACTGAGCGGCCGGACGGGGATGCAATCATTCAGATCCAGAGTGGAGGAAATAAGGAAATAACGGAGGACGGATGGAGAGAACCGTCACCAGAGAGCGGGCTGGACCGGCTGGAAAAAAAAGCCTCCTCATGTCCATCTTTTTTCTGCAGAAATAACTCTTCTTTTTATTCCATAAATCACCTCCAGTGTTTCCACTCAGTTAGCACAACCCCGTCCCAGTTTTTCCACAGAATTACCTGGACCTCTTATTTCCACTAAATCACTGCAAAACGCTTCCACCCAAATGTTTCTGCTCCGACGCTTCACTCCTGACGGCCGGGCGTAAAACTTTGCTTTCAAATACAGAAAAATAATCCCAGAACAAAACTGTGGATGTTGACTTTAAATCCTCCTGTGAAGAGGCAGGGACTAAAAATTGTATATATTTTTTTTAATGTCAGGTTTACTGGAGAAATTTAAATACACGAGGAGAGGCCACCTTTTTGAGAGTTTATCCCAACACACACCTTTGAACGCTAAACCTTTTTCACACACAATGCAGAGATGTATCTGAGGGATCATTTCTTAAACTTTGATTTTATATACCAACTGACAGCTGGGTGTCATTTCTTGATAGGCTATGTAAAAAAAGAGGAAAATCAAAGTGTCCACTGAGTTAGAGATGCCCAAACATAGAAGAGTGACATACAGAAGAAGAAGTGAGGTCATCCTATCAAAGATTTTCAAAGATTAAGGGTTAAAAATAGAAACATCACAGTTTGATCTGTTGTCGAAATATCACAGGAGAAATTCAATCTCACTTTAAAGCACCTCAGAAACACTTCAGGAATATCTGGAGTGTTTTTCCTGAGCTCTTCTTCTTCTGCACACTTTCTCATTTTTTAAAACTCTGAACGCCACAGGTCGTTCCTCTGCAGCCCACATACCTCTGCTGGTACGCGCCTAGCCCCTGCACGCTCTGCGGGGTCCCGTTCGTAGCTCCGGGGATCGGCACCCGACCCACCTGGGGTCCGGCCACCATCCCGCCGCCTCCACCGCCTCCTCCTCCGCCTCCAGCCCCGGGTCCTCCGCCCGCCGAGGCAGTCACCTGGACGCTGAAATCCGGGAAGATCCTGATCATGGTGCGGACTTTAACAACCTCCTCCTCCGGTTCTTTTGCGTCTCTCTCCCCGCACAGAGCAGTTACCGATCACCGGGATCAATGCAGGGATCGACTGAGCAGTAAAAAAAAAAAAAAAAAAAAAGACAAACAAAACCCGTCTTTTTGTTGTTTTGATTCTTCTTCTCTTCTCTAACCTTCGGATAAAACTCTCAAGCAGCTCCGGATCATGGTCCCGGTGAGTCCGGTGCGCAAAACAAACCGTCCCCGTTCAATGGCTCAGTAGATTAACGGGATCAGTGAGGGGATACTGCACGAGCAGAATAGATCAAACACCGTTTCCTTCACTATTTATATTTCTGTTCTTCTTCTCTTTCAGAGATAACCTCCGTGCACCCGCGTGCAGCTCCGGATCATGGTCCCGGTGTCTCCGTTGCGCACGGTCTCCCCTTCTCTTTCCTGCCACTCAACAGTCAGTTGGGTCGATGGATCGGTGGATCAGAGAGGTGCTAATTTCACCGATTAAACACAGACAGATCAGCCGTGTCCGTGGTGCTCTCACTCGGGCACCGCCGCCGGCTCTCCATCCGAGGAACACATCCCGGTCCTCGCGGCTCTCCTCCGCCTGCTGTCCTCCGGTGGGTCGGTGCTGGGTGGGGGGTGTCGGTGAGGGAACAGCTGACCGAAAGGAGAGCGGTCGGTCGTTGGGTAAAACAGTCACTTTTCAGCGAGCGCGCGGCTCTCAGCAGCACGAGCTCGGCAATGACATTGGTGTGATACAGCAGCAGCGCCAAAGTGTGTGTCGGTATGTCGGCGAGCGCCTGCGTGTGTGTGTGTGCGTGTGTGTGTGTGCTGTCCTCTGCGCTCGAGAGGGAGAGAGAGAGAGCGAGAGAGAGAGGGAGGGAGAGAGAGAGATAGAGATTGACTGATAGCGCTGTTTGTTCAGCAGGAGGACATTTCCTCTGACTTTAATGTGCAGAATAACGCAGCAGCTGTAAACTGACTTTTATTTGAATGTTACCTTTGATAATAAAGAGCCTCCTTTTTATGACTAAGGGCACCTTTGTATACATTTGTTAGTCTCTGGGTGGCGTGGAAATGTGCAGCACATCATTAAAGTCTTCAAATGGATTTTTAGAAATTCTGAAGAAAACATCTAAAACTTTCCAGAGGAGTGCGCGTGACAACATTTTACATCTGAAACCAAAGTCAGCACACTTTCAGAGCCCTGAGATTCTTAGGAACATTTTCAGGAAAGGAAAAGTCTCTGTGAGTAAAAAAAACAAAAAACATTCATCCTGATTTAAAAATGTTTTTTTCTGTAATTTATTTCAGCTCTGGTTCAGATATTCTCTTCGTCGTGTCTGGGGAAGATCATGTGTTTCTTCTAATATCTGATCTGAGCTCAGCTGCAGCTCCGCGCTCCTCTCTGCGCTCACTGGAGCTCCATGTGTGATCAGACTCCCCAATAAACTCAGATTCTCTCTCTCTCTCTCTCTCTCATGCTGTCTCCTCCCCTTTCTCTCTCTCTCCCTCACCTTAACTCTCTATCTCTCTCTCTCTCTCACACACACACACACACACACAAACTCTCTCTTTGCCCTTTCTCTCCCCCATTCCCTCGCCCTCTCACCTTTAAATCTAACTCATGTCAAACCTACCTTTGTTCACATTTAATTTGTTTCATCTTTATTTTTTGCAGAGCTTAAATAAACTCAAATATTATTTTCAAATTAACCACAGTTTTAAAGACAAAGGAAGTGAAAGAAGTCAAGAGCGCTTACAGCAAGACCCGGTCACCATGAAGACCAGGATATGCCAAAAGGAGACACAGAAAGATTGAAGACCCAGACCATGTGAGTCCAAAATGTTGTGTAAAATATGCACAATGAGCTGAAAGTTACATCAAAGCACCAAATGAAAACAAACCAATTCAGTAAAAACGGAAAATCTGGTTTGCCGCGTTCTGGTTGGTGTTGGGCGATATGACCTAAAGGTTCAATGTCAGATTTTTTCTCTCCAAACTGGTTTTCCGATATCAATGTAACTGTAATTTTGTCTTTTGGGGATAAAGTGCGAGCTGTACATTTGTCTTTGTGTGCTCAATGCAGATTCATGGTTCAGCAAAAGTACAGATGAGGCAGAGACACTTAAGAGTCTAAAAACATGAGGCTGGTCGATTCACACCTGCAGCCTCTCTGCAGGAATTAAACGAGGGGGGAATACATTAAAGAGAAAATCTCAAATTTAATTTTTTTAAAATCCAGATTTTTCACAAATATGATTTATCGCCCAGCCCTAGTTTGGGTGCTTAACAGAACTCCTCTTGGTTGTTGATAGAGTTCCTATTTTTTGAATTTCACGATTTACATGAACCAAGTCCTGAAACCTTTCACCATGTTCGATTCTCTCGTTACATTAAGAGAAGACAAACAGACACTCAGACTGAGCGTTAAACTACCTTACACAAAATGATCAAGATGACGAGAGCACCACAATGTTTGCGAAGCTCTCATGATTTTATTTGACATTAGGGAATAAAAACTGTGTGGGACATTGAAATCTGTGGAAAAATCTCAAACTGAAAAGCAGGTGTCAAACGGTACCTGAACGCACCACAACAGAAGGAAAAGGCCGAGTGTTAGAAAGTGTTTGTGAAGGCTGAGCGTTTGTTGTTCTGCTGCTGGAGCAGAGAGAGAGAGAGAGAGAGAGAGTGTGTGTGTGTGTGTGTGTGTGTGTGTGTGTGTGTGTGTGTGTGTGTGTATGTGTGTATGTGTGTGTGTGGTGTTGTCCTGAGGGATAACAGCAGGTTGACTGTCCTAATTCTGTCTGCTGTACTTTACCTGGTCACAGCTCACTAATACAGCCAGCACACACACACACACACACACACACACACTCTCTCTCTCTGCACACATAAGCGTGCACACTCAAACAAGCATGCACATACACACACACAAGCGTGCACACACACTATCGCTCGGTGAAAAGGCAAATGGATATAATAACAAATGAATATTGCACACACACACACACACACACACACACACACACACACACACACACACACACATCGTGAGTCAGTGGTCATGCGGTCATACTTAGAACATATACACACAAACACGCACACACGCTGTTCGGCCCTAATTCTATAAGGGGGTCCAGCATGTCTCCCCTGAAACCTCCAGTCCAATTCATTTGATTTCATTACAGAGAGAGAGAGAGAGAGAGAGGTAAACTGTACAGCGGGCGAGTGAGGCCGGGCTGCAGCGGTGGTTTTCATTAGGAGCTGCTGGTTAGAGCTGCGATCCAATTTAGACTGCAGGCTGGCAGAGAGGCGAGCGCTGTGTTTTTATTGGTATTTAATCAGCTCAATTGGGACGTTTTATTAGTGCGATGCTTTGTTTCGGAGGACAGACGAGAACTGGAGGTTATTAGGGGCTCTCACAGTGAGCCGCACAGTCCCAGCAGGGGTCCAGGAGGGGGGGTCCAGAGGATGAAATATTGGAAATGTGTCCTGGGTGGCTCAATAAGGAGGAAAGGAGGAGGGCAGTAAAAGCCCCAAAGTTGGGGGTTCGATTCCCCTGCTGAACATGTCAGGATGCAAATTAGACTTTTAGGTCTACCGCCGTGCCTCTGAGGAGGAGCTCGCTGTTATCCTCAGAGGGAGGAGCCAAACAACAAACAGACAGCTTGAATAAAGATAACTGTGAAGGAATTGTTTTCCTTATAAGAGTGTGAAGGAAAGCTATCAAACAGTGACTGAGTGGGAACATAGACTGTATAAAACATGGACGTAGTCTCAGTGACGGCACTCATTGGTTCTTGAAGAGGCGTTTTGATGTTGGCTTCAAAGCTCCTTTTCCGCCTTGTTGTCTTTTTCTGTTATTCTGTCCGACAGTTAGAATAACAACTTGAACATGTCAGGGACAAGAACATCAATTTAAAGTGGACCTACTGGGATTTGGTACATTTGCTATTTTGTTAACAATTAGAACGCACCATAATTAAGCACCATAAAGCGCAAGTGGCAGACAAAATTGTCCTTAGCTCAAGTTGCAAAAACCTGTGTCCTGCATTGTTGTGTTAGCATGCTAATGTTAGCGCTAGGGAGGTCCCGATCCCGATCTCAAGTATCGGATCGGAGCCGATTTGGGCATTTATTAACTGATCGGTGATTGGAATTTGAGGCCAATCAGCTCACCCCGATCTTTACGTCAGCTGATGTAAACTGAGCACAATTTGCGGCAGACCGCAAACACGCGAGTGACGTAGTAGTATCAACACCACACATGTATCAACACCGTGGCTAAAATGTCAGCAGTGTGGAAGTATTTTAAAATAGAGAGCGAAACAACTCAGATAGCCACTTGCAATGTCTGCAATACCATCGTTTCGCAAGGTGGTAGCACTAGAGCTGCGTTTAATACCACCAATTTGATAAGACATTTAAAAACAAAACATGCTACGGAATATAGCGCGTTCGCTAATGCAACAGAGCAAAAGGTTGCTGCACTGAAGCAACAAACTCTGGACTTTAAATATCCACGAGGGAGCGAAAAGGCCAAAAGGATTACAGAGAAGGTGGTTGAATTCATCGCTTTGGACAATCAGCCCATCTCCGTGGTAGAGAATGCAGGTTTTAATCATCTTTTGGAGCTTTTGGATCCACGCTATGCCCTGCCGTCTCGTCACTACATTTCTGACACCGCTTTACCGGAGCTGTACAACAAAGTTCGTGACAACATACTAGGGGATTTAAAACATGATGTGACTGTTGTTAGCTTCACGACAGACATTTGGAGCTCTGACGTTTTTCCCATGTCATTGCTGAGCCTCACTGCCCACTGGATAACTTCCTCCACTTTCAAGATGCTGGTGTTCTTAAACAAGAACCTTCATTTCATTTTGAAGTGACAGTGAATAGATTAAAGAACACTGTAGAAGCTCCAAATGCACTTTAAGAAATAGTTTTGTTAAGAGTGCCTTATATTTTGATGTTCAGGTTTTATTATAATACTTCTACAGAAAGTTATGTTTTTATTGACTTAAGGATGCTATAATAGGAATTGTAATTTTTTTTATTTGTTTTTAGAGAATTTATGTTTTCTCTAACTTGTGCCTATTCAAGTGAAACTGTTTACACCACTTTTATGTGGAAATCAGGTGTTTTGAATTCGTTTTTTACAGAATTCATTTTTTGTTAAATTTGTGCCTATTACAGCCAAGCTGTTTATACCACTTTAAAGTGGATCTATAATTTATATTTAAGTGTACTTGTTATTAAACTAAGCACTAAGTGAATGTGTCATTTATTTTCATGACTGAATCTTAAAAGTAAAAGCTTTTACACCATTCTGAGTAGAAATTTGATTTTATATGAGTTTTACAACAACTAGCTGGACTAAGTTGAATGTAATAAGCTGAAGACATCTTGTAGTTACTTAATGTTTACAAACATTGTTTTTGTCATACTTAAAATGTGGACCATCTCTTATCTAGGCAAATATAAGTATCGGATCGGGACTCGGTATTGGCTGATTCTCAATATAAAAAAATCGATTGGGATCGGGGACCTTAAAAGCTGATTGGGACATTCCTAGTTAGCGCTCTTTA